CAATTTTGAAAGTTCGGAATGATGCAATTATATGAGACGGTGATGATGATTACCATTATGACATTGCTGCTACTTATCTTCCTTATACCAAAGATTACCTTCGAATATTTGGAAAAAAAGCAACAAAGAATGTTTCAGTTTTTGCTTGAATTCAGGCCAAAAAACTTCGTCTTTTCAGAGGTTAGAAATCTTCATTACATCAGTTCACATCTGATAGGATATTTGAAATAGCATGGTTGTACACAGATCAGGAAATAGCACCGTTAAATCATGGGAAAATACAAATGGGGAAATCTCACTAGGCTACTAGTTGATTACAATAGTTTTAATGCATTAATTTCTCTTATCCAAATTCCATAGAGTTAGAGAGATATTTCAAGATTAATGTGAATAACACATCATATCTATATCAGATCACTCAGCCTAGTTATTAATCTTGTCCATAAAAAGTAGTTTATTTAGCTTAATTTAAAAATACGAAGCACTGCTTCATATTTTTAAATTCTAAGCAAAAAAGTTCCAAGTAATGAAGCTAGCAAAAAAGTTCCAAGTAAATCTGAACTAGGAAAAGCTTTGATCATCAACTTCAATTCATTCTTATTCCAACTGCGTGCCGAAAAACATAAGGACGAAGGAACAACAGTCGACAACTCCTATCACAATGCAAATACTTGTATATCGTATTTCGACGAAAGTTATCGTGGAATAAGTTTGTGCAACTTTTCCTTCGCCGATTATTCATTTTTTTTATACAACTTGAAATGCCTTTCCCCTTTCTTTCTACAGTTATTTAGCATGCGTAACGGTTATTAGCAAGCATGCGTAGCGGTTATTAGCATAACTAAGTTACATTATGGTTAATATCATTTCATAAGTTTAAACTGAAAAGTGATAATATGTTCAAAGCTAAAAGATTGTAGAGTAGCATATCGGAGGACAAAGTCAAAATGGAAAAGCAGTTTGGTCAAAATGTTAATTGTAGCAGAAAAGAAATCCAAGCCATTTTGTCAGCTCGAAATCGTTCATCACCCAGAGAATTGCATGAGTATATCACGTTGCTAACCACTTCGATAGTAATCATTTGCATACGTGCATGCGCAGATTCCCACGTTCATATCAATGTTATCATACACCTCCTGCCTGTAGTGGATATTGCTAACTTCACTTCTTGTAAGGATGCATGCTTGTTCCATCTCTCAGCTGGGAATAGGAATTTTAAAGGGAAGACATTTTAGTATCGCTGTTGTGTACATCTTCTACGCAACAATCAAGCTCATGCATTGCGCGAAGAAATGATGCAGGCAGGATGCGAAGACATCATAATAAATATCGAAAGAGTGATGACACTGATATGAAATCCTCATCAAGAATACAGTCAAGTAGTATGAGTTCAAGTGAATTGGTAAGCATTGCAAAGAAACCAAACATTATAACTGGTGAATCTGAAACGTCACGTATCAGAAACAGCGTGAATTTGAAAAAAACCATCTTCTCTACCAACGATACTAAAATCTTTCACAGGATCAGAATCGGAAAATTCTCTTGAACCGAAAAATTAATTTGTTAAGATATTTAATGAAGTACCATTTTATAATTACCGTCATGATGAGTGCATTTGCTTTAAATTGTGTTTAAAAATTTTTAAGCTCACAGCACGCTCCTCATGATACATATTATTTACTTTTGCAACCGATTTCATTTGTTGTGGATTTCACCCTCATTAAATGATAAGTTTCACAAATTTTTCATGAAAATTTTGGAACTCTATAAAGAACAAACAGCGTTTGACTGAAATGAATAATTCCAAGCTTTACATTTTTCACACTCAGTCCTCGGTGTCGTGAGTTACATATCAACTCAAATGTCACCTTCCATTTAAAACTTCGACTAACTCTCAGATTGACTTTCTGTGCCCTGCCCTTCCTGAATATCTTGGAGTAGAAAGGAGTTTAAGCATTTGGAATATCTCAAAAATATAAGTTGAAGAAGCTCGGCCTATTAACTGTAACTGGCGGGAAAACCATGTCAAAGAAATTATTTGGAAAAGAATTGAAGGGAAGAATAGTGATAAGGCAGGAATTTGCTTTCATTTAATCTATGACTTCTTTATTCTACCAGCAACGACAACATTACTGTTATCGTACAATTTAAATCTGATTAGGATGGTACTACTTCATACAAATACAACGTTAAAAGTCCCATTATCAGTGATTATTTATCAGTGAATATAGAATAAAACACAAAATAAAAAGAAACTGTCATAGACTGGAAGAAAATAGTTGAATACTTCCGTGGAGCATTTCAATCCCATTTCCATCCTTCGTGGCCCAATGAATGATGACTGCCATGATGTGGATAATGATGGTGAAAATGTTGATGATGCCATGGGAAGTGTCCATGATGGTGATGATAATAATGCTGCCATGGGCCATCCCAGTCATTGTCCCACCAACCAGACGCTGTCACCGATACTGCCAACAGAGCTAACAGTAATATTGTAGCAAATCGCAGTGATACCATTACTACAATATTGATAATTAACGTATTGTACCGAACAAATGATCAAAGAGACTGATTGGGTAATTATTAAACAGAAAAGTAAATTATAATAAGAAGAGATAATTAATGGCGAAACTTACTGAATGCTTGTAGAAGAGAACTTCTGTTCAGGTTGCTATGAGGAAATTCATGGAAAAGATATTTATATAGCAACTACTGAAACAGGCTTGGAATTAGGTTAATGGGAAGAGAATTTTTTATAGCTTCTTGTTAGATTGCAATTCTCCTATTTCTCGTTCTTTGGGTACCTTGTGACCTCATTTCTTGTGGCTTCATTTCGGCTTAGTGACTTGACCTCATTTCGGGTAGATAAGTTTCTTTCACCGCGACATTCTCATTAATTTCACCCTTCCTCATTAAGCTGAAATAGGATAGTATCTCCTAATATTTTACCAGTTTTTATGTATACTTCTCACTGCACTTTTCATTAAAGTAGAAAAATAGCAATTATGAAAACCTCCAAATTTTCAAAACTTTTTTAGAGGTCAAATGGTATTACGACGACTTGTCACAACATTATTGCTAGCTCTGTTGATAGTACCGATGACAGCTTCTGGCTTGTAG